ACACAAAATATTAATCTAATTCTTGTTTTAAAATAGAAAAATAATGTAAAAATGATGAAGATAATCAAAAAATTAAAAAGTATGAAATATAAAATAAAAAAATAAATAAGTAATAATAAAAGTATGAAAATATTAAAGAATGCAAAGTAAAAAAATTGAAGATGGGAAATTGTAAATCAAATTCGACGGAGGAATTTCAATTCAAAAAATAAAACAGAATGCAAAAAAACATATAGAAAATTAACAAATGAAAAGAAAAGAAATTCAAAATTTTTAAATTGTGAGATTATTGTAGAAACTACAATTTTAAATTAAATGAATATATCAAAACTTTAAAATTAGTTTAAACTGTGAGAGCATTGTAGAAAATACAATTTTTGTTATGTAACTTTTTGAAATAGTGATCATAATTTTTATCAAAATATAAATTGTCAAAAAATAGAACAAATCAAAAGTTTAACAAAAAGCTTTAAAATACGGTTTAATACCCTAAAACATATAAAATATAACAAAAAAATTATAAAATCAGGAGAAAGAGGTTTTGAAATTATTAAAAATATGATAAGTAACTAGCAATGTTTATGGAAGACAACTTCTAACAACCACACTATGTATACAATGTAAAAAATCTGAAATAAATAAATATAAAAATTTCAAATAATTCATAAATATCATATTAAAACTTTAAAAATACAATAAAAATAGAAATTGAAATTCTTAAAAAAAATTTAAAGTTATAAAATTTAATTAAACAAAAAAAGTATAGAATATAAAAAAAATCGAAAAACAAATTGAAGATTAAATTAAAATGTAAAAAAAAAGCATTTGATAATTGAAAAAAAATTAACCCAATAATTTTCAAAATAGTCACATAATTTATTTATTATTATTATTATGCACTATTATTGTTAGTATGACTTTATCGTTAGTTTTTGTTACCTATTGTTTATTTGTGTTTCACTTTGTTGATAATTTTAAAATTTTTGTTTTTATCGTTTCTTTGTGTTTCTTTATACTCACAATTCAAATTTCTCATTTTAGATGGTTGTACATAAGTTTATATATGAATTTTTATTCTATATAAGTAGCAAAGTGAAGCATCATTTTAAATAAAGGACAAAAATTAAAATCAAAACTATAAACACCAATAAACAACACGATGCAACAAGATGCAACAAAAAGAATCACAATGCAACAAAAAGCAACACAATGCAACAAAAAAGCGATACGATGCAACAAAAAGCAACACAACGCAACAAAAAGAAACAAAATAATAAAGCAATATGATGCAACCACAAACAACATAATGCAACAAAATATAACATGATGAAACAAAATGCAACACACTACACTTAACATAATAATCAATATAATTACAATTCACAAGTGTTCGATAAATAAATATACTGCAAGTTATTTGTAAGCATTTATTGTCAAAGCTATAATTAAATTTATACTAAAGTACAAGAAACTAATGAAGACCGTCAATAATAATGTCATCTCTCCATTGTTTACTAGTTGTTTTTTATTTAAAAAAAACTTACGAGATAATATTATTAAAAACAGAACAAGTGATAAAAAAACTAATGCTACTATATAGAAGCTCATAAAACCAGTAAGGGGTGGGGTAATAATAACTGGCAGGTGGTACTCCCAAGCCATTTACTGAAGGCATTTCATAAGACATCCTTGGTTTCTAACTAGGGGTAATGTATCCACCTAGGCTAGTGATTCTTCCTAGACTCGATTGCCCTTACATGCCCTCTCTAGAATAGAGCTGCCAGCCTACCACACCATCTGTTCATGCACTAGAAACTGTTTTTTCTTCTCTGGATCTGCCATTTGCACATGAGACGGGGGAGGAACGTTCAAAGAAGCAGAAATGGATCTTGCCCAACTGCCTGGACAGTAGTACCATTAGGGACAAGAAATGTCAACACTGGAGTTGTACTCAATATCATCCCTCCATCATAATGCCATTGTCTTAATAGTTTCTGCTGCAACACATGATCATAGTGAAATTAAAATATATATAAATTTTGACCAAGTAGCAACACTAATATATACAATCATGTGCTCTGCCCATATGACCCTATGCATATGACCACCTCACTCTTTATTCAAATATCTAGTATGTGCACATCCTTCTTTTGGGATATAATACCCGCTATAAAAGAGAGCATGATGTAATGTCAGGATTCATATTATACAGGATTCATATTATACTTGCTTCAAAAATGAGTAAGCTGAAGACAAAACTTTAACAGTTTACCCTTTTGAATTGCTTTCACCACAAACATTACACCTAAGAAGATTGAATATCATTAAATTAGGATTCATACACAGTTTTTCATTTATGAATACCCTGACATAGCAAAAGAACTAACACATGTACTTATAATGAAAATGATTTGATCAGTAAGGAAGAGTGAAGAGACCTGTATGAACAACTCTTTTATCTTCTCCAAATTTCAATTTAATCTTCAAAGGCACAACTAGAGAAAGGTCAAAATCAGTGTCTTAGCAAATCCATATTGTGACAGGGATAATATTGCGGGATCAATGATTCTGAAACATACTATTGGTACACATAATTTTTAAGAATGTAAAAATTGACAGTAAATAGAAAGAGATCCAAAAGAGGAGATTACTTACCTCAAAAGTAGAGTTTTCCTTTGTCACATTAGGAGCTGAAGCGGAATGAGAAATCAAGATGAAAGTAATTTGGCAGGTCATTCTCCGAAAGGCATTTGCAGAGCTGAGCAAGTTCAATTTTAGGCTATTCTGCTTTTCGTCCTCGCTGGTGAATGGAGGCTCTCAACCTGGTAGAACGCATTCTACGTCTCTACCGCCTAACCTAATCGGCAAGTGAGGTCGTCGGAAAAGCAATCTGACTTTGTCGCCTTTCTACTCTGTAATCTCCTTCTCTGCTCACTGCTCTGTACAGAAGACAGCTCGCTTCCCAGCCTGGAGACCACCGGCCCGTCATGGATGCCGGACAACTCTCTGGAAGACGGGTAACACATCGACGACAAATCTTAATCACGGCTGTGAGCGCCCCATCGCCGGAAGTGTAGACCAGATTCGCAGATCCGATGGTGTGAATCGCCGAACTTTGATCTCACGAGCACCCAAGCTCTCCTCCGATTAACAAAATTTTGTTCAATTGAAAGTGATGCATGGTTGATGCGATGAAGGAACTCCCTGCATCTCTCGGACATTAGTGTTGGTAAAGGAGGTTGTCAGAATATGGCTTTAAAGTGAAATTTTAAAACATACTCCGTAATTGAAAACAAGAAAGTTAAAAGTGAAAAAAGAAAGTAGGTAAAACATAAATGATATGTGGTGGGTAAAAGTGGTCTCTTCGGGTAATTACCACTACAAATTTTGAGATTGTGAAGTGTTGGGCCAAAGTACCAAACGGTAGGTTTATGATAGGAAAAACTACAAGAGTTTAAATTGCACTGAAAAATCATCCCAAATCTCACAAGACGGCTCCAACTAACATCCTGATGTCATTATATACTTTATGATAATGATAATACTCCGTATAATTATTTAATTAATCTTAATTGGAAAAATCACTTCAAAAGATGTATACTTGAGCTTATTTCAGTCCAAAATCAGATCAGAAGAGACAAGATAAAACTTAAACATATCACATGAGACTTTAACAGACTAGACGTGACAATACGACTATACTTCAATAGTTGTAAATATACATAGATTAAACATTTACCAGACCAAAACAGACTTAAACATACTAGATTAGAAAATTTAAGCCCAATTAAAACATCGTGAATGAAAAAATAGTAATATCAAAATATTAAAAACAAATAAGTACAAAAAGGGTATGTGTAGTCGTGCGCATATTCAAATAGGAGTCTGAGGTTCAATTTTTTCACATAATGGGGCATGAGTTCTAAACTTCTAATATGTTAGCACTCATTGAGCCTCTGTCTAAACCCGTAAAAAAGAAGGTGACGTGTCATTTGTTTATACATCTAGGTCGCCTTTTAGATGGAAACTCCCAAATTGAAAACACGTGTTCACTTTGTATTTTCCCTATTAAATATTAACCCTACGGCTCAATCAAGTGTTAGAGTGTCATCGTCCCACTCGTTAACTGTTAACCGTATAAAAAACCAAATTACCGTTGTTTTTCTGGTTAACTGTATCGGATTTTTCAAAAATTTCACGGTAGAGTTAACCGAGTCCATGGAATAATGGTTTATGGTTCAATTGCGGTTATGAGAATTTGCTATCCATGGTTAACCGATAACCGGAAATCACCTACGGTGCTGTTTTTGTAACTCTTTTCTTGGGATCCAATCAAACTATCACTGTCGCTTGTAGAACTATGTAGAGTTAATTTCTTACAAGACTCTTTTTTCCATTGCTACGTTAACAACCTATCAAAATGAAGTCTCTAGAATTAATTTCATCTTCACGTGTTAATTTCTTGCAGTATTCCATATATTCTTTTTGAAATATTGAATTAATTAATAATTGCGGCATGCATTGCAGTAAATTCAAGCCTCGTGCATGTATAAGATGTTTATTACGTTCTGGATGTCTTATGGGTTTACTAATTGATTAAGTTGGTAATTTTGTTGTTGTTTCCTTTTTTGGTTCTTTTTTTATTTTTGATTAACCGATTAATGGTTAACCGAAATTTTGGTTAACCGATATTTGGTTAACTGGTGCTACGATATGGATAATTGTATTGAATATATAGTTACCAAAATCTCGGTTAACCGATTCTTGGTTAACCACATGTGCCCACTCCTAGTTTGACCAACCAAAGACCAAAGCATATTCTTCACTTCTTGAGTTGTATAGTACATGACAAACTACCGGAGGACAACTGGACAAGGGACTAAAGAATTAGAGTTTAAGCCAACATGCTTTTCTTTATAACGGATGCATTTATTTTCTTTATTATTTTTGTATTTATGTAATTGACTATATGCTGTGTGAGCAAAATGCATGGTAATAAGCACTTAGAATGAATACTTTTTGCCTATACCTCACCACTAACACTAATCTAAGCCTGTAAATATCTAAAATGTACACACCACCTCTTCTTCTTCTTCTTTTCCCTTTCTTTTCTCAAAAAAAAAAAAACTACATGTCAAGAAGAATGTCATCCAATGTAGGAGATGATTGGGGTGGAACTGCACCAGATTCAGAATCAGAATCTTCTCTCAAGCCAAGCGCTAGAGCTTTCCTTGCAGTTGTTTGAGATTCCAACCCATGTCCCACTTTCCTGGAAGAAAAGCCAGAGGAGTTCATCATCTTCTGACTTGACAGTAAAGACTCTTCTCTCAACTTGACTCCTCCTCCTCCCTGAGCTTTTGAAATGACAGAACTGAAAACCCCAGACTCTCTCATGTTCTGAATGATAACCTGCCACATTACGCAAAGGTCGCATTTACACCAGAGCTATTGACACTTTGAGAGGAAGCTACAGAGATTTAATTTGATCTTATATGATCATCTTTTTTTACCATGGGAGTGTGTATCCTAACCAACATGCCGTTCTTCAAAAGCTTCTGCTTAAGCTCCCCGTCGTTCCAAACAACATGTTCATTGTACCTAATGAGAAGAAAGGTCCAAACTTTATGAGCAATCAATCAGTTAAACTAGAGCTGGTGATGATGGGGAAGAGTTGTGAGTATTACTTACCACTGAAGCATCTCTTCTTCTGTTGCAGTTGAAGCTATGATAAATGCCTGTAATAATTCAAAACAACAAGTGAGATGTTCAAATTTTGGGAATTTATTGAAAACACCAATAAGCAAACCTGTCATCAGATCATAAAAAAATCAGAAAACTTTATTCATATAATGGTGGTGGTCAACACTCAATTCTATCTAATGCACTAAGTTAGTTAACTAATTTGTAACATAGTGTGCTTGTTCGTGTGCTCACGCATATGAAGTACACGAACAAGGAGTAATTCATAGCGATCTTCACAATTTTGATCATTATGAAGATTCAAAACCATAACCATAACAAAAATGGAGTAATACAAATACAATACATATACACTAGGGATATGATCTTTTTATGAAGTGGGCAAGTGGCTCATATATTATAGAACCACTATGTACAAACATGACAGAAGAACATAACTCACATCTCTGTCAAAATCAAGCATGAAGCATCTTTTAACATCTTCCTTTGTAGGCTTACAACCACAACGATCACGCCTTGATGTCAAATCAGAGAACTTGGGATATGTGTAGTGCAGAACAGCTCCCTCTTCCGACTTCACCTCACTAAATCAAGATCACAAAGAAAACACCAACATTGTCAAATTTATATACACTAGAAAACAAAAGATATTAATAATATAATACTAACAATAATACTCCGTAATAATTTTGGTTTTTCCAATAATATTACTAAAACATAACTCGTTGAAAAAAACTTGACTATATGGTCAGTGAGGATACTATCATGGTTATTACAAAAGAACATAAGCATGGTTATTTGTCATTATTTCGAATAATAATGGTGATGGTGATGATGAAAAATAACAAGAAATATGGTGGTGATAATTGATGAATGAACAACTTACGAGGGAGTGTACATATAGTTGTGCCATCTGTGAGCACCATTAGGGCGAAGATGATCCTTAATACGGGCAGCTGATTTCCCATTCCCGTAAGTCAAGAAGTAATTTGGATTGCCGCGGGTTGCGTCCTTGTAGTTTGCAAAGTAAGTTTCCTTAATCAGGTGGTCATAACTCTTCTTGAACATTGATACCTTTAGGCACAAACACAGTCCCATAGCAGTTAAAACTATGAACAACAAGGTTGATTTGAGACACATATACAATTGAATGCACAGAGAAAGAAAAAAGAGTTTTCTCACTTCACTAAATGGTTCCTTTATATTGTCCCTCTCAACACTGCTCTCCTGAAATAGTTTATATCATCAGCTAAGGTACCATTTATGTATAGTTATACACGTATACCACAGTAAATTAATAACTACTTACATAATTTGGAAAGACAACCATATCAGTATGAGAAGGAATATCTGCTAAGAGCTCTCTCACTGAAAACTCGCGTGTTCCAGCTGGATGTATTAGCTCATCGGTGTCCAAATGGAATATCCAATCCATACCAGCTTCCTTTATAAATCAATTGCCCGAGGAAATAAACCAATTAAAATTCAACCTCTGAGATCAAATCGAACAATAAACAAAATTAAAAATAAGAAGAAACTCATACCCGAGCCATTACAATCCCCATTTCCATATTAAGGGACTGCTTGACAAACAACTCATAGTTGCAAGGTTTGTAGAAAAAGCTTGACAACCAGGTTTCATTCCAAATCCGGCTAAAACCAACACAAACCATATTTTCATTATTTGAATAATTACTAGAGAAGATCAACGGAAAGACAATGTGTCACAATGATGAGAAATAAATATATAATTAATAACAAAACCTTTTGTTTTAGTCCTAAGTTAAACAGAAAAGAATAGTTTTTACAATGGCAATTATTTCCACTATATAGAGCACTATGAATTTGTGAGAAAGTATAGATGGAGAGCAATGTTAAACCTTTTCTCTTGTTTCTCCTCTAGTTCTCTTGTTCTATATATGACACTTACTCCCTGCAAAAAATGGATCAATAATGACTTCAAATTTGACCTTACCAAACAGGAAAATTAATTGACATGGATGATTAGCAAGTGCAGATAAATCAAAGCTAACCGGAATAGATTCAAGAACTTTTGACACATGGGGGGAAGCAGCTTTACCCTCCACAAACATGAAAAACCTTGCAACACCAATAACCTTATGGTAATATATCCATGGCAATGTTTGCTCCAAGCCCGCAGATGTAGTTGAAGTTATGCATATCTAACAACAAAACAAAACAAACAAGAATTTACTAAAATTCAAAATCAAATTTAACAGAAAATATGTAGAACAGAAATCAAAACTTCATACATTAATAAGAAAATCACAGCAGTCCAGAAATAACATCATTAGAGTAATTAAAAAATGCACACATACACTCAGACATACTTACTACATGCATACATACAACAAACTCCAAAGTGAACAGACTAAACTACCCAAGTTTGGGATTCAATCTACCAACGAGCCGGACCCGGACTCCCAGAGCTAATTATTTTTTTGCCTAATGAATCCATGGTACTGGGTTACCATTACAATTCTATGAAATTGACTAGACTACTCAACACATTATGAACTTTAGAATCTCAATGGTGCCTCTTGCTTCCCAATGTGCAAAAGCATGGTTCTGTCCATATAAATGTTCACATATGTACGGCTGAGTAAAATTATGAAATTGAAAAAAAATCTGCTAAAAAGAGTGCAGAAATACAACAGAGCCCACTGCCTTCATGCTTTTAATAATCTGTCAAAAGGGAGAACTTTTTTACGACAAGAAAGGTTTAGGATCCCTAGAAAAGAAAAAAAAACAGTAAAGTGACATCCAGTTTCTTCACACTCAAAATGCATACCCATATATCGCAATCTGAGGAAGACATGATATATATACGTTTAAGTGATCATAACCGAAACAAGATCAAACAACCATACCAAGATCGATTCAAGAAAGTTGAAGAAAAAAACCTTGGGACTGATCTCCGATTCGGAAGATGACCCGAAGTTGAATTTCCAATCCCTGAAGTAAGGAAACGACAGGGTCCGCGACTGAGAGAGAATTCCGCCGCAGTCGGAGGAGGAGGGTAAGGAGCGACGGGGCGGTCGAAAGTCGTCAGCGGGTAACTGCTGGGTTGTCGGGTCAGGGAACCCGCCCCTCCATTGCAAGATGAATGCAAAAGCCGCCAGAGACAATGAGAGAATAGTGAGTAATAGGAGAAGGCGCGATGCGGAGGCGCTGGGAGAAGACTGGGAGGGGAAAGACGATGAGGTTGATATGGGTCTGGTTCTCACCCTCAGTGAAGTGAAAAGACCCGCCATTGATGATGGTCGATGAAGGTTCAGAGAAAACGCAGAAATGTAATCATGTAGAATTGTAGATGATGGAGAACTCTGTTATATACATAGGATATGTGCTCTGTATGTATGTGCATGCATCGTGAGAAGATGGGGATGAAACATGAAACTGCAGTCCAGAGTCCAGACGTATCAGAGAGCTTGGCATTTGGAAGAGCCGTTTTGTCCCTCAGATTTGAGTTACTCCCTCCGTCCAAAGTTATTTTTAGAAAAAAAAACAAAACTACATTAATTATTTTTAGTAAAAAATTAAATATTTAGAAATTACATTAAAATTTTATAAAGTAGCAAATAATTGAATCATTTTTTTTTCTTTTTGATGTATAACAGAATAGATTGAGAATGATTTGTGTTGACCATATGAATAAGAACTTGTATCATCAAATTGGGACAAAGGTAGTACAGAGTATTAATTTGGTGTACTTTTTGGAGAACAAGTGACATTATTAATTACCGATAATAAAAAGAGATATTCTCTCTGTCACGAAATAAATGTCTTGTTTGCTTTAGCACAAGTTTTAAGAAAATGGTTGAAAAGGTAAAAGTTTTGGTTGAGATTTTAACAGAAAAATGTGAATTGATATGAGTCACACATTATTGCCAAAAGAGTAAGCATGACAATTATATTGGGACGGGATGAAAAGGAAAGCAGGAAAGTTATTTCGGGACGGTAGGAGTAATATTTAATTGAGAGATTTACCTAAACAGGACTAAAACTTATGAAAAAACTCATTGTAGGATTATCACTTTTTCGTGTAACAGCATAAGACTAAAATATAGATGGAATACCAAAACTCCCCTACAAAGCCACTCTTCTTCCGTTCGCCGACTTGTGAAGCGTGCGCTGAAGGATGTCTCTGCATTGCCTCTGCAACTTTCATAGGTAGGCTTCTTCTTCTTCTTTAAAGCTTCTCTATTTTCTTTCTTCCACGGGTAATCTCTTTTCTTCTCTTTTGGATATTAATTTTTTATAAATTCCATCTAATTCATTTTAAATCGTTCATACTGTTTTGGAAAAAATGTCACTATCTTGACATTACATTTATCAAGATGACAATTATTATTTGGCATTTTTAAAGACTAAAAATGACATCAACGTGACATTTTCCACGACTGTCATGTTTGTATATATGGAAATGTCATCTCCATGACATTTTGAGAACAAAGATGACATTTTTTACAAAACAGAGCAAGAAGACGAAGAAATAATATGAGGAAGAGGAATCTGGGAGATAATGCTAGAATGTGAAGAGGAAGAGAGAAAAGGAAAGAGATGAAGAGAATAGAAAGGGAGTAGTAGAACAACCTGGAGTACTAGACCGACATCGTAGAGAAGGATCAATTGTTGAGATGCAGGAGAAGATGATCGCAACTGGAATTGCAGGGGAGAGGATTGATCTTGAGTTGCCGGATAAGAGGACTGATGTTGGAGTTGCAGGAGAAGAGCATGGCGCAAAAGAAGAAGATCGACGTTGAAGGCAAAGATAATGATACACACGGGGACATTTTAGACTTTGCAGAAAACGTAAAAACTGATAATAGGAGCAAATGACTCCTATATTGAGAGAATTCCTTGAATAGGACTAAAACAAAGAAGAATTACAAAACAAGACCGCTATGTGTTATTGGACAAAAATATGACTAAAAGAGTTAATCATAAAACTACCCTTAATGAATTAAAACTTAAACATCTCCCAGGCGTGTGTTTCCCAGATGGGTTTTGGCGTCGCCGACACCAACACTCCAAGTCCCAAAAAACTACAGTGTTGTCATCCATCAGCATGTCCACCACCGACGCAGCACTTCCACGATGCCGCCGCCGCCAGAAAAGTTCTGCATCGACCATTGCAAAATCCCAAGTTTCGTATATGTCTTGCAGACCTCCAATGAGAATGTCAATAATAATGACATGACATTCTCAGTTTTAAAAATCATGAATTTTTCAAATGTAAAATAATGGCAATTTAAGGATGAAAATTCTGACATCATTTGGAAAACATGTCATTTCTGATAACAAATAGTCATGTCATTCTCAAATAAGCCATAAAAATGCCATAGAATGACATAACAATGACTGATAGAGTATATCTCCTAGATTCTAGAGAGAAGTGAGAGCTAGAGAGAGAAGTGCAATAATATGCTTCAATAGTATGATTTTGTAACACCTATAACTACTCCCAAGGGGAGTATTTATAGAGAAAATTAGGGTTGGGCTCCCAAGTCTTGGGCTTGGGAGGCCCATTTACAACTGGACCGCTACTGGGCCGAATACAAAGCCTCTAATGGGCTGTACAAATGAGTAAGTATAGAATCCGTTTCTGGGAGGTCTTCGTGGCCGACGAGGGCGTGGCCGACGAGGGCACGGCCGACGAGGGCACGACCGACGAGGGCACGGCCGACGGGGGCACCCGAGTTCCTTGGGTTCAGGACCGTAATCTGAGTTGGCCCCTTTTCGGCCGACGGGGGCGTCTTGGCCGACGAGGGCGCCACTCTGTTGTCTTGTGCTCTGTTCTTCCGAGTATGTGGGTCCTGGAGCTCAGACCCATATACTCCATCAGGAGTCCCCCACTCTCTAAGCTGAGACGTAGACGAAGTGAAGGAGAGTAGATTTCTGTGCTTTGTTGCTTTTGGCCGACGCGGGCATTTCCAGGCCGTTAGCCGTTGCGGTATTGGCGCTGTTTCCATTTTGGTGATCCTGTTATGGGCTTTGGCCGTTACCTGCTCCTCGCTGTGGGCGGGGAGGCCGTTATTTCCTTGACGTGTTCGTTTGAGGACGATGAGTGTCTTGTTCCTTGCTTTGAGGACGATGGCGTCCTTTCCTTTGGGTGGCCGATGAGGGTGCTCGCGCACTCCTTTTGGCCGTTGCTGGTTGGCCTACGTGTTCTTGGCCGAAGGGCCCGTCAAGATTAATTGTTGGCGGAGGACGATGAGTGTCCTTGCCTCTAGTGGCTTGTTGGCCGTTGCTAATGACGTTTTGGGCCTTTGGCCGATGAGGTTCCGTTGTGCTGTGTGGATGATGTGGCCATGTTTTGTGGTTACCTTATTTATACTCTTTGTTTCGTTGAGGCCGGTGTAGTCCCCCAGTCCCCCACTGCTTCAGGCCGAGGAGTGTGAGGGGTGAAGGAGTTGCTTGAGTCCCTGGCCGAAGCGGTCTCGTCGTATTCCCCCTGAATCCAACTCTCATGGCGATTTTCTGGCCAAGGTAACCCTGTGGGAGAACCCTTGTGCGCAGATCGCTTGTAGAGGGTTATCATCAAGGGTTATTTACGAGGAGCCGATGGCTTTTGGGCTCTTGGGTCCTTTGATCTTGTGGCCGTTACGTTCCTGGCCGTTGCCGTCTTCTTATTGTCTGGCATTTGTGATCTTGGTGAGCAAGTGGGACGTTGTGGGCGCTTGCTGGCAGTTGTAAAGCCGCTGAGCGTGTGTAGGCCGTAGAGTCTGATTTGCCAGTGGGCCGTTGATGTGGCTTGGGCCTGGCCCGTTGGTGTCGTGGTGGCCTCCCATTGGTGGCCGTTGATGTGGCCATTGGGAGAGTGCCACGTGTAGTGACCGTTGGTGGGGGGTCTATAAATACCCCTTCCCCTCCGACGAAGAATCACATTTGCATTCTGAATTTGTCGAAGTGCTGGCCGATTTTCTAGAGAGATAAACTCCCAAGCCTGTTCTTCGTGTTCTTCGTTGTTTGAGGTTAGTGTTCATCACGATCTTCCTCACTTTTCATATTTTGCTCCGTAAGTAGTTGATCTAGTGTTAGGCGTTTAAACACCTTTAGATCGTAAGTTGTTCTCCTTAAGCCCGTAGTAGTAGTAATGAAGAGCTTGAACGAGGACTACTACCCCTACGACGACCAGCCCTCCACAAGGTCCCTTGACTACGAGGTGCTCGAGGAGTTTGAAGAGGAGATAGAGCGTTTAAGCCCCTACAAATCCGAAGAGCTGGTGGGTGAGGAAGGCGAGGACGAGGAGTCCGCCTCCTCCTCAGAGGGTGAGGACGTAGGCGCGTCCCGAGCGGTGGACGGGGCGTCCACTTCTGCTGCCGTTCCGTGCCCGAGGCCGGTGTCTGCCGTGAAGGGAGCAGCTAAGCCGAAGAGGGTGAGGAGGCCGAAGAATGGGCCGGGCCTCTCCTACCTGGACCTCACCAACATATTTCTGATCAAGCCGGAGAGCAGTGCGGCCGACTATCTTGTCGCCCAGATGTACGTGGGGCCGTACGGGCGGGTTAGGGCACCCAGGCCGACGGACCATGTTCTACTTCCGCCACCGGGATACTTTGGAGTATACCCGATGAGTTTTGCTAAGGGGTTGAGGTTCCCCCTTCACCCTTTCGTCACTGAGTATCTGGACATGGTGGGGCTTCCTCCGGCCTTGCTGACGCCGAACAGTTATTCCTTGATAGTGGGCTTCTTGCTTTGGTGTGAGGAGTTGGGCTACAGGCCGACCACGGCCTTATTCATGAACTTGTACCAGATCGGCCGAGGAAGCCACAAGAACTGTGCGGCCTATGCTCTCTTCAACAGTTGCCGAGGAAGAGGAGCTTCACGGATTTGCCTACGTCCATTCATGGGTGGAAGAGCAAGTTCGTGTTTGTGTCCATTGGTGAGAGTGGCACCGAGTTCCCCTCCCTCGGCCATACCGGGAGGTTCAATCTTCATGACCCGCCGAAGAGCTCTATTTTGGACGCTCAGGTGGAGGCTTTCCTGGAAGGGGGGCCGAGGAGCGTGAAAGATTACGTCACTGAATACAAGATGACGGCCCTCGGCTTCTTCAGATATCACTTGTATGGAGATAAGGAGGATGACCTCCAACTCTGGCCGAGGATGACCACCACCTTTGAGGAGGCCGATGGCCCGGATTTGGGCATTCCTGCTGAGGCCGACGGTAATTTTTCTTCGGCTTTCTGTCTTTACGTTTTGTCCTTTGCCTTACTAATCTGTTTGTTTTTTCTTTGTAGACTTTGTCATGGACCGACGCTCCATAATGGCCGTTGCCAAGGCCAAGGCGGCCGAGGAGCTGGCTGCTAGGGCGGCCGAGGCGGCCCGACGTGCCGCTGCTGGTGGGAGCGGGGCTACTGCTGACGCGGCCCCAAAGCCTGCCCCGTCCAAGAAAAAGAGACCGGCCACTGACGGCCAGAAAAAGTTGACCGAGGCCGGCGTGAGCGTCTCTAAGAAGACGAAGAGGGCTCCTTCCCCTTCTCCGGCTAGTGAGGCCGGCACGCTTACTGTCCCCAGCGTGGGCGATGGTGGTCTCGTCGTGGACCTTACTGTTGCTGATGATGCCGCCCCAGCGCTTCCTCTCGTCCAGGAACCACGGACGCAGAGGGCCGGCAAGGAGATTGCCGGTGCCACCTATCAGAAAGTGATAGAGTACCCCGTCGGCGGGGGCGTGTTTAATGAGCTCGTCCCCGGCCACGTCGTCCTGGCCAAGGCCATGCCGGCCAAAGATCGGGCTCATTTGAAGAAGCTCGAGGACCCGAAGATTTATGAGGGCGGCATGGATCTCCTCGTCCAAGTAAGTGATTGTCCTTATATTTTTGTCTCTCTTCGTCTATGTAGAGTTTTTTTTTGCCTGACCTTTGTTTTTCTTCTGCAGAGTGCCTTCATGCTTATGGAAAGCCATAAGAGGCAGTACTGGGAGATAGCCCGCCTGCAAGCGCTGGAGCAGAAGGCTGCCTCGGCCGACGAGGCGGTAGCTTGCCTTGACCGGCTCCGGGAGGATGCCAAGGCGCTGCAGGCCAAAGCTGATGAAGCCGTCGCGGCCAGGGACGATGCCCTGGTCAAACTTGAAGAGAGCAAAAGGGAGCTCGCGGAGTCCCACAGGGCGCTTGAGGCCGAGAAGCGCCGGAGCGAGGAGGCCGCCAAGGCGAAGGCTGAGGCCGAGGCCGCCGTCGTGAAGGCTGCCGATGAGGCCGTCGAGAAGTTCTTGGCCGAGGGGTGGAAGGCCGATGAGAGGCTCCCCTGGTGCTACGAAGTGGTGGCCGCCAGGCTTGAGAATTGGGGGATGAACTCCCCTGCCGGCCGGGAGTATTTCAGCCGGGAGATGTCCGTTTATTACAACCTGGGCCAGGAGCGCATGCAAAGGCTCCTATGTCGGCGGCTATCCCGGGCGTTGAAGGCTATGAATTACACGTCTGGATGGGCTAGACGGAACCTGAAGCTGCCAAAGCTGATGAAGGATCCCGAAGAGCAGGCCAAGCTTCCGCTGTCGGAGCGGGAGTCCCCCATAGAAAGCTCCGGCCTCGGCGAGCCGGACTACACTGAATTTGACTTCTTAGATGATGCCACCAGCGCCGCTGCCGGCCAAGAAGCTGAGGACGAAGAGGGAGCTGATGAGGCCGATGAGACAGCCGTAGATGGTGATGCCCCCGAAGCTTGATAGACTATTCATTTGTAATTAGCGTTTCAATATTTTGCCAAGTGGTGTAACGACCGTAGTGCCCCCCAATTGTAATGAAGTTTATCAATTGAAGAAATTTTTGCTGTCCTTTTCGGCCTTGAATCCCTTGCATGCTTGTTTGCTTTGTCATTTCAATTCTGTAAATTGTCTAAGTATCAATTCATAACTTGGGTCACCCGCGAGTGTCCGCTACGTCCGTAAGGTGGGCCTTCCTGTCCAGTAGTCTGGTCGTCCTCTTTGCTTTGTCATAACACTTAGGATTTTGTATCAAAAATTTCCCAAGTGTTTTTGGGTCCATGTAGCTGCTGTCTTTACGGCCTAGTGGCTTGAGCGGCTTGGACGTAGTTTCATAATACTTAGGAATTTCTTCAAAAAAAAATTCTAAGTGTTTTGGGATCCACTTAGGTGCTTTCCTTTCGGCCTGGTGGCCTTGTCGGCTTGACCGGTGTTCCTTTGCCATCATAACACTTAGGATTTTTTCAAAAAATTTCCTAAGTGTTTTGGATTCCTTTTAGGTGCCTCCCTTTTTAGCCTTGACCGTAGTGTCCGTTCCGTCCAAGCGTTGGCGTCCTTATCGTCCTGGCCTTGGATTCATCCTAGGTGTTTTGGCCATGGCCGTTGTCGGCTTGTATCCCTGTGTTCTGGCCGATAAGGGCACCTTCACCATAGTCTCGTGGACTTTGAATTTTTCACAAGTACACATGTGAAGGTGTAGGTAGCTAACGGCTTTGTAGTATACTGGTACCCGCCTCGGCTAGAATTCCTTCATTTGAGTACTTAGATAATTTCCTAAGTATAAATGTTAGGCATGTACTTCTTCGCGGTGCCACTGCCGGCCAAGGTCTGGCTTGTGGCCGATGAGGGTGCTGGATAAGGAATAGCTTGTCCAAGGAGATGGTCCTGTATTCGTCGGCTAGCTATGGTTCCAGTGCCTGCGTCGGCCATCCGAGGTGCTGTGGCAAGTAGAGGTTTTTTCTTGATTACTTGATCCTTTCGCGGGTGTGATAAGTGCCCGCTTCGTCCTGGTCATCCTCAGGATTGCGATGCTTTGTTTCATACCAAACGTTGGTGCCTCAAAGGACTATGGCCGATAAAGGTCACCTCTCGCGTGTCACCCAACCGATGTGGTTAGGGTTTTAAAGGCGTGTGTATCGGCCTTGATTGTTCCGTTGTAGTGTGTGGACGTGTCGTCCATGTTGCCTGTCAGTGGTACTACACTGATATGTACTTGGCCAAAATGGGCCTGAATTTGTGGGGATTTTATTTTTTCCTTGCTCGAGGCCGGCAAGTGTGCGCGGCCGTCGGCTTCCCTCTTTTTCCCTCATATATATATATTTTTTTTCGTTTCGGGGGTATCCTTCTTTAGGCTTCGGCCGAAGGGTGTGCTCGTCCTTCGGCCGGTTCGGACTTCGTTTATAACGTCCGTGGTCTCAGGGCGGGTCCCGTTGCCTATTTATGACGCGGGCTAGACTTTTGGTCGGTTTCCAACGGCTGTCGTTGCCCATCCCTGAGTTTTGGGATTTTGTCACCTCGGCCATGATTTCAGGCCTGTCGTCCTGCGATCCGGCGCGTGGACGACGCGGTGAGCTTCCCGTTTCAAGACGTGGGCCGTTTGCGGGCCCCTCGTCCTGGGGACATCGTCGGCCATACCTGAGTGTTTCACTTCTAGGCTTACGGGGCCAGGACGATGTGCTCTCTCAGCTAGGCCTGAGCCCTTTGCTGATACAAAATACAATGGAGTGTCTGAGCTTGTCGCTCGTAGGCTGCAAATGCAAGGGGCCCTGTCGGCCAGACCTGAGCCTTTCGCTCTAAGGTGGCCGACGAGGGCACCTGCTAATGTTTGACTTTAAATTCCAGAAAAAATCAGAACATGATTTTATTCATAAGTGGCTCGAGGCCGAGGGTGGCGTTCAATCAGTAACCCGTTAAGGGGTGAGGGCTTCGCCGTCTACACCTCCTTCGGATTACTGATAAAACTTCACCAGATGATGTACATTCCATGTTCGTGGTACATTGGACCCATTCGGTCGTTTAAGTTTGTAGGTGCCGGGTTTGACCACGGCACTGACGATGTAGGGCCCTTCGTACTTCAATGCTAGCTTGCCACCCTCTGTCGGCTGGCTTGCTTCCCTTCGGCGGAGGACGTAGTCCCCCACCTGAAATTCCCGGGAACGTACCTTGGCGTCGTAGTATGATTTTACTTGACGCCGGTAGTTCTCCGCTCGGACGTAAGCTTGCTCACGCCTCTCATCGACCAGGTGCAGGTCAATCTTCATGCTTTCCTCATTGGCGTCAGGCTCGTATCGTTCCACCCGTCGGCTGGGGATAGCAACTTCCGTAGGCGCCTTTGCTTCAAAGCCATAGCACAGGGCGAAAGGCGTTTCACCTGTCACCCTCCTCGGCGTGGTTCTGTAGCACCACAGGATGTTGGGGAGCTCGTCGACCCAACTACCTCCTGCGGCCTGGAGTTTCTTCTTCAGCCCCTCCATGATCGTTCTGTTGGCGTTCTCGACCTGCCCGTTGCCCTGAGGGTAGGCAACGGAGGAGAAACGATGCTTTACCTCAAACTCCCGGAGGAGCTCCTGGAAAGGGGCTGCCTCAAACTGGGTGTCGTTGTCTGATATGATCTCCTGGGGGACGCCAAAGCGTGTGATGATGTTCTTGTAAACAAATTTTTGGCATCTGGCCCCCGTGATGCTGGCCAAAGGTTCCGCCTCGACCCACTTGGTGAAGTAGTCGACGGCGACGATGATGTAGCGGTTATTCCCGGCGGCTCTGGGCAGGGGCCCGACCAGGTCAATCCCCCATCTGGAGAATGGAATTGCGGTGCTGACAGGGGCATAGTTGACAGCTGGCCGACCAGGGGCCTTCTGGAGTACCTGGCATGTGGTGCACTTCCTGGCCAGGTCAGCGCAGTCCCGTGCCATCGTCGGCCAGAAGAAGCCCTGGACGACGAGACGCCGGGACATGCTGAAAGGACCCTGGTGTGAGGAGCAGACGCCACAATGAACCTCTTCCATGGTGGTGTCGGCCTCGTCCTGGTGCAGGCACCGGAGGAGGGTGCCATTATAGGACCGTTTGTAGAGTTTGCCATCTTCGATGGTGTAGCTTGGGGCCCTGAGTTTGGCGAGTTTGGCCCTCTCCTCGTCCGGGGGCAGCTCCCCTGTTGTGATGAAGGTGGCGATATCGGAGATCCAGTCCTCTGGTCGCTGTTGGACGCACAAGACGGGGCTGGCATGGATGCTGGACATGCTCAACTCCTCGATCTTGGCCAATTGGGAGATGTGCTCCGGGGTGTCCGAGCTGAGCTTGGAGAGGATGTCAGCTTTGGCGTTCTCGGCCCTTGGGATCTGAGTGATCTCGTGGGTTTCAAACGCTTTCAGCAATTCCTCTGCCGCTTGTTTGTACTGCTTCATCCGGCCTTCCTTTGCTTCGTACGATCCCTCCACCTGGCCCACTACCAGTTTGGAATCGCACTTGATTCTGAGGTGCTTGGCCTTGAGACCGGCGGCGAGTCTGAGACCGCTGAGGAGGGCCTCATACTCGGCTTCGTTGTTGGATACCCTGAAGTTGAAGCGGATGGCATAGTAGGCTCTGAATCCTTCAGGGGATATGAGGACGACGCCG